AACTACATTTAAAAAGTCCCCAACAACCGTAATGAGTATAACTAATAAGGTGCTCCACTTTATGGTAAAACTGAAGTCAGCCTGTATCTTTTTCTCAAAAATGAAGCTGAAGTACAATAACAATATCCAATACCCGCCAAAATTCTAACTTGTCACATTTCAAATAATAACCAGAAATATAAAACTACTCTTGAGTTGGGTAAATACCACAATTTTGCGGTGATAACTATGATATATAACAGCTGATTCGTGACGTCACGGATCTTATAACCAAACTGATAACTACACTCGCTTGAACGGATTGGTAAATACCAACCCAAAATGGTAAATACTATTTCCATTTGGTTATCCGCTTGAATTTGATTATAGTAGGCCGCGCGGGTCGAACGTCAGTACTGAATCTTAACCTCACTCTTTAGTAAACTTAAATTCAAAATGGAACTCAACCGCGAACATTTTCGCGCCATAATTTATTACAACTTTCAAAGATAAAATTATCGCAACAAGAACACCTTGCTGAGTTACTGTCTGTTTTCGCCAACGAAGCGCCACATCAGGCGACAATTTCCCGTTGGTAGGGAGAATTCAAACGTGGACGGGTGAGTCTTAGCGACGATTCCAGGGTGGGTGCATAAAAAACGGCAGTCACCCAGGAAAACGTCGATGCTGTGCGCAAACTCATCATTGAAGATAGACATGTGACATATCGCGAGATTGAGGCGTCCTTGAAGATCTCAAAGACCTCAATTCAAAAATTGTACGTGAAGAATTAGGAGTAAGAACATTAGTTTCTCGTTGGATACCCCACCTGTTGACTGAAGAGCAGAAAGCAGCCAGGGTTAATTGGTGTCAAAAAACGTTTGACCGTTTCAATTCCGGAAACTCAAAAAATGTTGTACAGCATTGTTAGTGGTGATGAATCGTGGATTTACTGATATGAACCAGGAAATAAACGACAGGTGGCTGTTGGGTGTTCCAAGGTGAAGAAAAGCCAACAAAAGTCAACCGTTCTCGAAGTGTGAAAAAGATGGTCGCGACATTTGTATCAAAAGCAACATATTCCAACAATTCCTCTTAATGAGCGAAGAACTGTTACTGCGGATTGGTATGCCACCATTTGTTTGCCAAAAGTCTTCACCGAGCTTCGAAAAATCAACCCTCGCATACAGATGTGTATTAATCTTCGTGGAGAATACTTTGAAAAACAATAAGTCATTTGAAACTACCTACCGTGTTGTTTTATTTCCATATGCAAAACTTAAAAGACATCCCTCGTAGACAGACGGACGGATATGACTGCTGTTTTTGGTGATGTCAAGTAGCATCCAAGAAACCTGATACCCCATTTTCCAAATGTTTCGCGATTATAACACTTCCTTCTCAGTTGGCGTAGGTACAAAATAATAGAAAACCATATTCCAGCAGACCAATCATTTTCCCACTCTATTTTGATTCCCGATTTTGTAGGTAATTTGATACCAGCAGCGGAATCTTTCGTATGTCTCTCGAACTAACTCATCTTATAAAATGTATGATAGAGAAAGCTAATTCGTTAGCATGCTGTCATCTGTTGACTGATGTTCAAACTAACAGTATAGAGCCATCTACTGGAAGAGCAGTCGTTCAGTATTGGAGGAATCTTGATTTTATAAGATAATAAATAAAACAAAATGAAGGAACCGGTAAATATAAAAATACATAAAACAGAAAGAAGCAAAAATATTTTGATTCTCCGATTCACAAACAGGAGGGAACGACCCCTTTACGACTTTTCCTGATCGTAAATTCAAAATACCCGACCCACTTTCCTTAAAATTTAAAAATTCCTGTCCTTGAGGAAAAAAATTATCGAACCGGTTTCCGTCGAAAAACACAATCTCCCCACGCCCTGCAAAGCACGTACACATACTCTATATAACCTCTTATCACAGAAGCGGCCAGAACTTGAGAAAGTATGAAACGCTCTGAAAAAAGTTTTTGAGACAGCAGAATTCCAAAGTAATTTATCAGGAGACTGTTAGAATTTAGTGCGTCCAGCGCCAGAAAAATGCGATTGGTACAGTATAAATTGAAAAACCAACAGGGTGTACAGCATTTAGGGGCCCAGCTGAGCATAGGTGGTGATATTGTGGATATCAGTGCTGTGGACAGTTCTATTCCGAATACTATGGTAAAATTCTTGAGGGAAGGACCTGGGATGTATGATAAGGCTAAAAGGTAACTTTTTATTCATATTTTTTTGTGTACATATGGCTTATTAGTACAGGGTGGCTAGATAGGATAGACTTATTGCACTATGTACATTGGGCAAATTTGCTGTTTCAAAGTTGAAATTCGAAAAAAAAAAATAGTCACAGAAAAATGAATGGGCTAACTTGAGTAGGTATAGGCCAGGGTGTTAAAATATTTTGAAAAAGTGCACTTATTTTGATTAAGTAGAAACATCACTGTGTAGGTATGTGTTCATAAAGCATGAAAAATTGCTGTAAGTTGTTTTTAATTATACTAGTCCCAAAAAGTTCAAAAACTAGTATGTTTTTTTTAACAAACTGCTGCTGAAATATTTTTATAAAATTATATTTTGCCATATGGGTCTCTCAAGTTTTCTGAAACAATTGGAAACAAGTTTTTTTTAGGAATTTGGGTAGGAATTTCATATGTTTGTAGGGGTACCCACCATATGGCATAACTGTGTTTGTTATGTTTTTCTTATATGAATGTTTGAATTTTGTGTGGATATAGGTGCACTCATGTTAGTTGGCCTTGAATTTAATACTACTAATGAGAAGCTATATTATTCCTTATTCTGTCTGTAAAATTTCCATAGCTGCCTTGATTTGTGTGCATTTTAATGATACACAGACATGCATTCAGATAGCAATGGTACCTACTAGGTTATTATTTATTAAATTACCAGGTGAAAAAACAGTTTTAGGTATAATGTTTTGAAAGCAAAACTGAATTATTGGCAACAAAATTGCAAATATGTTGCAGTTTTCCTGGGTTGAAGAATGTTTTACCAGAAAATAGTAAAAAAAATAATGATTATAAATCAAAGTAAGACACTATGGTAGCATATCAACTGTATCCCGGTTCCATAAGGTCTACCTCATGTTATATTCTTCAGATAATATTTGGTTATCCAATTAAAGATATAAACTTGATGTAATCATGGATGTAACTGTAAAATATTGAGGCAAAAAACTTTATAATTCACTAAGAAGAGGGGCTTAAATATGTTTTTTGATATCACTGAAGAAAGTGAATATTATGTGTGTCAATTTTGCAAAGGATTTTGTATGGCAATTATATGTTGCAATATGGAGGTTTATTTACTCTGATAAAGTTGATAACAAACATATCTTGTTTATTAGCTGACTTAAAGATATGATACTCAGTATTATACTGAGTAATTAATTATATATGCTAAAAAAAATATGTTTTTTTGTGAGGAATGTATTGTTTAACAACACTAAGTAAGGCTATAAATAAAAAAATAATTTATTTGTATTACAAGTTTGCAGTAATCTTAGAAATGCTCACATATACTCAAATCAATTATGAACATGACATTATAAAGATCTGCTTGAATTAGGAGTATGCAATAACCAAAATTGAAGAAAACACTTCTAAGATCATGAATGGTACAATAATCCAAGAGAAAAAAATACGTTCTACTAGTGTTGACTTTCTGACATGGCCACCACACTAGCGCCAGAATGTTTCATACATTTTTGTGGCATTAGAACTCCAAAACTGTACATCATCTTTGCAGAATTGTGGCTGCTGGCAAATCCATAACACACTTGGCCGATGTAGATCTTCTGTCACCAATCACCAGCAGACAAAGTAGTCTGTGTTGGCCTTAACTACAGTGGACATTGTGAAGAGCAGAAGATATCTCCTCCCAGTGAGCCGATGTTCTTCAGCAAATTCTCTTCTGTTATCATTGGGCCTAATGATAATGTTGTTATTCCACCTATCACAAATGTAGGTACAATTCTCTAAATTTGAATTTAGCAGTGTTGTAAAACATCAGGCATGTCATTCATATATAAAATGAATAGTAATGGTCCTAATTTGCTACCCTGTGGGACACCTACTGAAATATTTTTAATGCTTCCATGTAGTATTACTAAAAACTAAATTGAGCTTATGAACACTAGAACTCAGATTTTTTTCAGAGTGTTGACTGGGAGGTAGAGCTGGCAGTGATAATAGGCAAACAGGCAAAATGCATTAGAAAAGACCAAGTGCAGGACCATATTTTTGGTTACACTGTGGCTCAAGACATCAGTGCAAGAGATTGGCAGAAAAGTAGGAACAATGGACAATTCCTATTGGGCAAGTCCATGGACACTTTCTGTCCATTGGGTCCAGCTATTGTTACCAAAAACAAGGTGAATCCCAGTGACTTGGCCATCAAGTCATGGGTGAATGGGGTATTGAAGCAAGATGGAAATACCTCAGAGCTGGTTTTCAAGATTGAATTTTTGGTCTCCTATTTGTCACAGTAAGTTGACTTGATAAACGAATTTGTTAAAAATAACGTGAAATGAGAATGTTAAAATATAAATTGGAATTTAGAGTCATTAAGACCCGATTTTACTAATGGATCTATAAAATATAGTAGCTAAACCAGGTGATTTATAAACTATATCCTGATTTAGTATGGGTCAATAGTAGAATCAGCTCTAAGTCATTTAAAAAAATGCTTTGAAATTTATGTGGTTGCCTTTATTTTTATCAGGATTGTGACTCTGTACCCTGGTGATGTCCTCCTCACTGGTACTCCTGCAGGCGTGGGGGTGCACAGAAATCCCCCAGAATTCCTAAAGTCAGGAGATCTGCTCGAGAGTGAAATTGAAGGAATTGGAAGATTGCAAAACAATATTGTGTAAAACCTTTTTTTATATTTGATATACTACAAATACAGATATTTTTACAACTCATTGTGTTCCATTCACGTCTTTGTGATAATAAAGAATTTTCAACCAAAACTATTGTTCTTCTTTGGGGAAATATGGCCTAGGTTTCATAGCGGTGATAGGAAACTCTTCCCTTGTATGGTAAGGCTCATAAGGGTCATCAACATAGTACTTTGGCCTCCGCCAGTATTCCCCGACCATTTTGTCCAACATATAGCTTTGAGTTGCGTTGCAGAAACGTGCTGCCTCAATCTACGCTTTCTTGCAGATGACTTCTTCCACAGTTTCCTGTGTCTGCCAGCCTTTGTCCTGATCCAGATGCCCCAATTCAGCCTGTAGAATCTTTTTAGGCTTTCTTCTGAGATTTCCTTTTGCCCTTTCTGAACGAGTATTTAGTCAACGTTCTAGTTATTTCATTGCTGATTTGAGGTAGGGGTTGCAGCAAAGGTTTCTGTTGTAGATTAGAGGTTACGATTGAGCACAAACTTCTGTTAGATTGAGGAAGTAACTGCGACACTGTTGGTTTGGGAATGGTGTTTATAAGACATTTTGAGGCCGATTTTGTTGATAAAATTGCAAATCTAGCGGCAGAAACGGCGAGTGTTTTGAACATTTTTTTAAAGGTTAACAGATGACATTTGCTCATGTACATATGACAGAATGATACACTTCAAGTGTAACATTGTTACAGGAACTTGCAGCAGATGAAAAATTAGTTAAGCTATATCCCCTTAGATAGCGCTTCACTATCGATACAAGTGACATCTGTACGTCAATTGCCTA